GAACAGTGAGGACAATAAATGACACCTTATTCACTGATTCTTTACAGTTTAATGAAAGTTACTCCCACAATTTATGCAAAGCCTCATGAAATGTAGGAAAAAATATGATATATTACATTAGCACAGTGGCTGATTGCTAAATTTCTATGTTATGTGTCTAGATTTCCATCTAGAGCATCAGCTGAGCGACGTTGCTTTGCAGACGGCCCTCTGCAGCTCCTCCCGTCATTACGCCGGACGCTCTTTCCAGATCTTTCGTGCCCTGAGACAGCCTCTTTCTGCCCACGCTGTGTCTGACTTGCTCTCACGTCTGGTGGAGGTTGTTGGGGAGCATGGAGATGAAGTTCAGGTGTGAATCAATGCTATTAAATGCTATTATAATCATACTAATTATTTTAGTTTTCTGGAATACCTGATCAAATATATTTGGAAGTTAAAGTTTGCGTGCTAACTTGCTTTCCAGGGTTACGTCATGGAGATTTTACTCACTTTGGAGTCTGTTGTGGACAATTTGGCCGAATGTCTCAATAACAGTGAACTTATGGCAGCTTTGACAAGGTTTGTCTTTTATGCTGTTTACATTACAAAAATGTACAATTACAGTATAGTACAGTCAATATTTTGGGGTTTGGTACAAAAAAATAAATAAAGACTTTTAATAATGCTTATTATCATTAAATAAAATTAAGTATTAAATAAGAAAAATAAAAACAACTGTTGATCAAAATAATAATTATTAATGCTAATTACAAATATTTTTATTTAGTAGTCAACTTATTAAAACTTCAAAATTAAAATGACGAGAAAATGTGAATTAGATGAAAAGTAATCAAAATGGATGGAAAGTAATCTAAAATGACAGCATAGACTATATTAAGCAGAACTAACTTTTTTTAAAATTGATAATAAGATATGTTTTGAGAATTTGATTGATTTAAATTAAATTAATTTCTAATAAAGTGACATTGAAGCCTAAATTAATAGCTGCTAAAAACTCAGCAAATTACATTTTAAAATATATTACAAGAGATAAAAACTTTTAATTCGTAATATTTCATTTTAATGTTTTACTGTATCTTGAGCCATACATTACGCCTACATTTTTAAATGGTAGTACATGTAAATTTTTGTAAATTTATTGTATTTACATACAATATATTCAACACTGGCTCATTCTGAAAATGTAGCCCTATATACGTTTCTGGAGATTGCGAATTATGTAGCTAGAGCTACGCATGGCAGCATTTTGTTTGTAAAACAAAATGCTAATGACGCTAATGTGCGGTATGATGTTGTTTCTTTTCGAGCTTACCCGCTGACCGATTACCTGCATGTAGACATTTTTTCTGCTGTTACCAGTTTGTCCGATAGCTCGTACGTCATAAAACACGTATGTCGTCGAACTTGAGATACAGAGCAGAGTTGACTGCAACGATGGGGTTCGAGTCCAGTGAATAACGGTTCCAGAAAGCAGGCAATACAAAAACAGAAGCCAGAGCATAAACAACAGGGTGAGATTGTAGTAAAATCTGAAAACAGGGTAAAAGTCAGGGGGCTTTTCTTTTTCAGGATTGCTTTTCAAAACACCGCGGTTGGGTTTAGGGAAGGGGGAGAGTGGGGATATCGGTCGTTTGGTCAGTCAGTCAGTTGACAGCAGCCTCTGGTGGACTTACGTGAGAACAGCAGGTGTGAATGGCAATCACGAAACAAAATTAAAGATCTAAAAAAAAAGTGTCTGCAGCGGCCTCTGGGAAATTTACGTGAGAACAGCAGGCGCAAATGGCACTTGTGAGAGAAATTTGAGATCTAAAAAAGCACAACCAGCGGCCTCTATAGGATTTTTCGTGAGAACAGCAGGCGCGAATGGCACTCGCAAGAGAAATTTGACATCTAAAAACATATACGCAGCTGCCTCTGGCTGAATTCGCAAAAACAAAAACTGCAAAAAAACGTAGCTCCTGGGAAGTTTTTTGCTCTCTCCAGAAATGTATACAGGAATACATAATCAAAATGAGCCGGGGTAAATGTATATTCTTGCAATGTCTCATCCACAAACAGAGATTCATCGCCAGACTTCCTGGTGAGTGGGAAGCTTAACCTAAATCGTAAGAGCACAGGACAGATCAACCTCCTCCAAGAGGCCGGGACTAATGAACGGAACAGACATCAGCGCAGTTATTCTGTCCCCAAGAAGTTTGGTGAAAGTGGAGAAAACTCATCCTCCAACCCACCTCGCAGTGCCACCCTGGATCGCATCCAGGCCTGTACCCAACAGGGTCTCATGCGCTCAGCCCGCAGCACTTCCTCCAACTCCACCCGTGCCGACACAAGTGTCATCACCGACCCGTCGCACTCCAGTCATCCAGTAAACCTGCTTGCCACCATCTTCTGGGTGGCGGTGTCGCTCATGGAGTCAGACTTTGAGTTTGAGTACCAGATGTCATTAAGGCTGGTGCACAAACTGCTGGCGCGGGTTCCACTGGATCTGCAGGAGAACAGGGAGAGACTAGAGAAGCTCCAGGCGCAGCTGAGGTGGAGTGGCTTTTCTGGACTTCAGCAGCTGCTCCTAAAGGGATTCACTTCTCCGACCACGAATGATCTTACTCTTCAGCTATTCTGTCAGCTTACACCTGTTTCACGAGTGCCAGTGGTGGATACATCACAGGCTATAGGTGGGTAGAATGGACTGAAAGCTGTTCACAAAAGTGTGGTGTGGCTTAATGACTTAAAAGCAGTGGCATTCTATTTATTTTTTTGATTGGTTTCTAATATTATCTTGTATATTATCACTGCTTCCCACAGGTTTGAAATAAACTTGCGGTGGTAGCCGGATTAAAACACATTCTTTACCCAAGGCATATAAATGGTTAACTACATTTAGTACAGTATTGCCGAAGCATTTTAGATATGTATAAAATATGTAATGTATCAATATAATCAAATAAATAACATATACAGCAAATGAGAAATAAATTACAAGAAAAAAATGAATAAAAACAGACAATATCTCTAAAATGGATAGTATTTATTAATAATTAATAAATAATTAGAATAAAAAGTGTAGATTATATTAAGGCAGATGAGTTGATTGATCATTTCTAATGGTGTACACATATTTTGCAGCCAGTTTAGATGTCATTTTGTCCTCTCCAAGTAAACAGTAACGTTTTGTGAATCGTTTAGATTAAAGAATCTATTTTTAAATTTTTTTCTTAGCCTCATCAGCTTTGAAGCCTAGAGGAATGTAGTCTTAATTAAAAGAGTAATGCAAAAACGCAACAACTTTAGAAAGCGAAAGCAGAAGTTGACTCCCAGACATTTTCGGAGGTTTAGAAACACCTGCCAGAGTCGCCGGACACATTTTAAAGCCTCAAAAAGCCGCATCTCTCCCTGCAGAGCGTGTGAGACTGTCTGAGGAAGTGTTGTTGACAGTTGATACATACATTGAGCAGAATGAAATGGGGCAAGAGAAGATTTTCCACTGGTTATTTAAACACAATTAAACATAGATGTTTGGTTATCTTGGATGGATACAAAAAGTGTAAAAGGATGATAATATTGGTAAAAAATATGTCATCAAATACACTTTGACGGCTGTTATTATACCTGGGCGGCCCGCCCAAGTAAAGTTTATGTGTGCGAAGCACTGATTATTATTATCAATGCCTTATATTGTTACTAGCTATGTTTCCATTCATCTATTTTTAATGCACATTTTGGAATATTGTATAAAAACGATCAAGATGCACATACATTTTGAAAATGTGAATAAAATTCTTATATAAAACAATATATAGTTTTAATAACAATACATATCAAATCAATAATGAAAACGCATTCACTGAAGTCTAGCATGTGCGTCAAAAATTCATGTTATTTTGTTTTAACTGATAATGTGGTAACAAATAAGTGCACAATGAGACAGCATTAATGGTCTACCTGCGAACTGACAGCATCATTTGGTCATTGGTCATTCTAAGTAAAGTTTATTTATAAACTACTTTCAGTGATTGATCACAGCTGGTCCCGCATTATCCAATTTATGATTCACCATTAGGCGATTCCTAAGCTACTATAAATACCTTAAGTTCCATATAACAGCCATCTTGGCTTTTCACCCCTACGCCTCCTCCTTTCCTAGATGGGTGGCCCAGTGGTTAGCACTGTTGCTTCACAGCAAGAACGTCACTGGTTCTAGTCCTTACTAAGCCAGCCGGTGTTTCTGTGAGGAGTTTACACGTTCTCTTCCCACCGAGTTTCCCAGTTTCCTCCCACCGTCCAAAAACATGCAACTTAAGTAAATTGACTAATCCAAATTGGCACCACACACATGCACCTAATAAGTAGTTATCTCTTAAGAGCAATAACTCTCTGTTCATTAGCTACTACAGCAGGGGAGTTCTCGAGATCTACCTTAGCTCAAACTCCCCTCTCGCCTTGCAAATGGGAGGGAGCCCCGGACTCGAGGATCGTATGAGCTCAGGGCTCTGTAGCAAGTACGATTGATTTGTCGCGATTGCGTATTTTTCAATGTGGGCCAATTGGTCAGAAGAGAAAGAACGGCTACTGGAGAGAGGAAAGCAGCACAGCAGGTGAGTGAATAATCAGACACAGTCAGTTTTTTCTTCAATATAGTTTATATAATTAGAAATATGTTATGAGTTTGTGAATTTCTGTCCAATAAGCATAAGTATTTATGTATATATATAGGTTCGATTATAAATTATAATAATGAAAAGTAAATAATTTTCTATTTTTTTTCTTTACACAGATGAACGTGAAGTCAATATACAGTTAAAACAAAGTTGTGATCAAGACAGTTGAGAAATTTCAAACACTTGTACAAAATGAAAATAAAAATCCTAGAAAGCTACAACACTGTGCTACCCTTTGTATAAAACAAAGTAAAGAAGGCAATAAATTGTGATAAAAAATACTGTGTTCTCAAATGTAATAAATAAAAGAAAATAAAGAAATAAATCAATAATAAATATACCAACTCTACTCAAATGCAGGCTATAATTCAATATTCACACTTTTAACTCAATAAATCATTAATGTGCTCAAATAAATCACCTCTCTGTTTAAAGAATCAATACACGGTTCAAATGAATCACCTCCCTGTTCAAAAGATCGCTACTCTGTTAAAATGAATCACCTCACTGTTCAAAGAATCAAAACTCTGTTCAAATGAATCGTTCGCTACTCAAAAGATTCGTTTTGCTGTCCAAAGGATTTGTTTCGCTTTCAGATGATTCGTTCCACCGGTTGCCGTTCACAGTTCAATACCAAGGATTTCGTGAAAGAGAACTGTTGATTCTCTTAGCTCAGTTCCAGTAAAGGTTTTCCGTTGAGGATTTTAGGAAAAGTAAGAAGGAAAAGCGGAAGGTCGCGATGAGTCCGAGTCTCGTTTCTCCAAACAATCAAAAGAACTCTCCTACCAGTCCGGTGGCACAAACACACAGTCTAACAGGAGAGTCGGTTCCGTGGGTGGCTCGCCGTAAGTTTCTCCTCGAGTCCAACGTGAATTAGGGACTCATCACAGATGCTTCGACACACACAAAAAACCCAGCCTTGCAAAACACAAGGCAAATATCAATTAATAGAATGTCTTTAACAATAAATCTCATATGTACACTCTTCATATGCACATTTACTCAACATATATACACACATTGATCATAACATTCCTCAAATACCATATTTTTGACACTACTTGAAATCATGTTAAAATGAAAACAAAAATAAACACAAACTCACCAAGGAAATCACTCAAAATCAAAGCGAAAACCCAGGAAAACTCCAGGTGGCACTCGTGTGCAGATTTCACTCTCATATACAAATGACGCTTTTTCTCTCAATCCTTCATCAAAAATATATTATATAAATCATTGCAGCATCTTATTAACGGTAAAATTGCACAGTTAATACGAATTTAGAACATTAAAAGATATAAATCTAATAATTTTCTACTGATAATACAATAACAACTTACTTCTCTCACTCCCTTGCAAACACTGAATCACCATAGCAACAGTAAACACAAACTAACAGACAAGCGAGATTTGTTATTGTTTGGAAAGCTGATCTGCTGCTAAAGTGTAAGGCACGATGATGTCATTCTAAAGCACTACTCCCTTGAATGCTGTATAATACTCTTTTATAAATTATTTATATAAATAAATAATTTTAATGTATATTATTTAATCGAGTATTCTGCCAGTGTTTTTTCTCATATTTATAAGGGTATTTCTATTTTTTCTATTGCTGTGTACTAACAACTAGTAACCTGGGTTATCCGGGTTACATTCTCCCCGCCTGGAATCTATGCAGGTCCCTCTGCATCTTTTAGGCTGCGTAACGGCAGCAGAAGGGAACATTTTCTGCATTAAAAGAGAGGCTTCTCTGGGGCAATCAGACTCCTCTAAAGATGCAGTGACTGCTGTACTGAGACCTTGTAGTAAGGATTGTATAACCAGAGAAAGAGGATTCCCTAATTGAGAGTACTGTAGCCTTTGTGGTGGCTCACGGTGTCTTTGCGAACGTCTCAATGTATTTCTTTCAACCTGGTCGATCACTGCCTGGCCACTGTGAATATTTCTCTGATCAGCTTCATCATCTATTTCACTCAATATTTCCAGTTCATCTCTCTGTTCCAATAGTTCTTGATCATTTACTACAGGTACGTTTCTTAACATATCTGGTCTAACAGAATCCATTACAGGTGTGTTCTCTCTTTCAGGTTCACTCATGGGACAGTTTTCATCTTCAGGTAAGTAAGGTAAGTTCTCTTGTGGTATCTCTATTGCAGGACAGTCATTGATTTTACTTTTCACGACTCTTGTTTTACTAGAAAGTTCTGCAATCGGCCTGTCTCTTGAAGGCTTAACATGTCTTGGATTGAAGAGGATTCTGCTCTCTACTTTTGGTAAGTGTCTACGTGAGTAGTGATCCATTGAATCATCCTCAGAGTCAGAACTCTCAGTCATAGTATCAGGTTCTCTTGCACTGGTGTTTGCTCGAGTTCTAGGTCTGCGGGGTGGTTTAGGTTTTACTGGCTCAGGCATGCTTTCTTGTAAGAATCCACAGGGCAGCAGCAAGTCTCGATGCAGTGTGCGAAGTGGGCCATCGCTGCCTTCTGGACTAACAGTATAAACAGGTAAGTCTCCCGCCTTCTTTAACACAACATAGATTTCTTTCTCCCACTTATCAGCCAATTTATGCTTTCCTCTTAGCTTGACATTCCGTACTAGAACACGATCTCCAACCTCAAGGAATGAGGTGACTACTCGCTCATCAAATCGTTTCTTGTTCCTTCTTGCTAATTTTGAGGCATTCTCAGTAGCTATTCTATAGCTTTCCTCTAAGCGATCTTTCAGATTTCTCACATAAATGGAATGAGATGGGGATGACCCAGTAGCAGGTAAACCAAATGCTATGTCTACTGGCAGCCGAGGCTGTCTCCCAAACATCAGCTCGTAAGGTGAGAATCCTGTTGTGTCATTACGAGTGCAATTGTAAGCATGGACTAATGGTTTAACAAAGTCTTTCCAATAGGTCTTTTGTTTGTCCTCCAGGGTCCCTAACATTTGGAGCAATGTTCTGTTGAAACGTTCTACAGGGTTGCCTCTGGGATGGTAAGGCGTAGTTCTTACTTTTTGTATTCCTGCTATGCCACACAGTTCTTTGATTATTCTTGACTCAAAGTCGGGCCCCTGATCACTCAGAATTCTTTCAGGAAACCCGTAATGGATGAAAAAGTTGTCCCATAAGCATTTGGCCACAGTTTCAGCTTTCTGGTTTCTAGTAGGCACTGCAACAGCATACTTGGTGAAATGATCAGTAATTACAAGGATGTCTTTAGTGTTGCTTCGATCAGGCTCTAGTGACAAGTAGTCTATGCAGACTAGTTCAAGGGGTCTGCTGGTTGTGATATTCACCAGGGGTGCAGCCCGCTCAGGAGGGGTCTTTCGTTTTACACATCGCTCACAGGTCTTTACTTTCTCTTCCACAGTTATTGCCATTTTTGGCCAGTAAAAACGGGCTCTAGCCAGGTCCAAAGTCCTTTCAATTCCGAGATGCCCCATGTCATTGTGCAGATTTTTTAATACATTTCCTCTGAGCTTTTTGGGCAAGGCCAACTGATACAATACGCCTCTTGGGTCCTGTCTCTTTCTAAATAAGATTCCATTCTTGAACTCAAAGCGGTCCCACTCTCTTAGCCACAAAGCTACTTCTGCAGGCTCTACTTTCCCATGAGGTTTCTTTCCAGAATTAAGGTGCCTAATTACTTTTTCAAGCACTGGATCAGTTCTTTGACATTCTTTTAACTCTTCCTCTGACATTTGGGGAAGAACTGGAAGGCCTCCTGCCTCCTGCTGGAATTCTTGGGGTACTGCATCAACACTTTGGGACAGTGATTCTACCACAGTAAGTTGAGAATACGGTAGGTTAGAATCACCACAGCTCTGATATACTTGGTGTCGTTCACAGAGGGCTTTTACTGCATCGGGCAAGATAACTTGTTGTTCTGTCTCAGCTAAGTGATGGAGAGTGAATTGTTTGATTCTTTCACGTTCTTTCTGAGAGGCGAAATCATCAATCTGTTCATCATGGGGCCGTCTTGAGAGTCCATCTGCATCTAGATTTCTTTTGCCTGCACGATACTGGATCTTAAAATTGAATGTTGACAGGCTGGACAGCCATCTGTAACTGGTTGCATCGAGTTTTGCAGATGTTAATATGTAGGTGAGTGGGTTGCTGTCTGTAATCACAGTGAACTCTCCTCCATACAGATAGTCACTGAATTTGGCTGTGACTGCCCACTTGAGTGCAAGGAATTCTAATTTGTGAGCGGGGTACTTTGCTTCACTTTTAGTTAGTCCCCTACTTGCAAAAGCAATCACCCTCATTCGACCTTCCTGCTCTTGATAAAGAGCTGCTCCAAGTCCAACAGTGCTGGCATCAGTGGTCAACACATAGGGGAGTCTAGGATCTGCGTATCCGAGGACTGGAGCAGAGGTCAGCTTCTCTATGATTGTATTAAATGCCCCCTGACAATCCTGGTTCCATCGCTCTCCAAACTGTTCTTTAGGATCCAGGTAAGGTGTACTTTTTGGGGGGTTTCGTTTCTGATTTTTCTGCAGTGGGGGATATCCAATAGTAAGGTCGTTAAGGGGTCTTGTGATTTTTGAGAAGTCTTGAACGAACCTTCTGTAGTATCCTGCAAATCCAAGAAAAGATTTCAGTTCTTTAAGGTTTTTAGGTCTTGGCCAGGTTTTGAGAGCTTCAATTTTGGTTGGATCTGTTTCAACACCATTCTGAGAGACTATGTGGCCTAAGTACTGGACTGATGTTTGGAAAAACTTGCACTTCTTGGGAGAAAGCTTTAATCCGTATTCTTTTAGTCGTGTCAGGACTTGCAAGAGTTTGGCTTTGTGCTCTTCTAATGTCTTGGAAAAGACAATAAGGTCGTCTATGAAAACTAGGACGTCTTTTCTGTTAAGATCACCCATGCATCGCTCCATCAGCCTCTGAAATGTACTTGGTGCATTAGTGACTCCTTGAGGCATTCTGTTGAACTCATAGAATCCTAAAGGACAGATGAATGCAGTCTTTGATTTATCAGCCTCTTCCATCTCAATTTGATAAAAGCCTGATTTTAAGTCGAGAACTGAAAACCATTTGGAGCCAGATAGAACAGAAAAGGCTTCCTCCAAATTAGGCAGGGCATATGCATCTTTTACAGTTTGCGAGTTTAACTTTCGGAAGTCAATGCAGAGGCGTACATCATTGTTTTTCTTTCTTACTACTACAATTGGAGAAGCAAAAGAGGATTCAGATTCTCTGATGATGTTTGCATCAAGTAGTTCTTTAAGATGCCGTCTTACAGCATCGACATCCTGGGGATGGATAGGCCGAGCACGCTGCTTGAATGGGGTGCTGTCACTGAGATGGATATGGTGTTTTACTTTGTTTGTGTGGCCATAATCTAAGTCATGAAGTGCAAATACATCTTGCATGGAGTTCACAAGATCAGTTATCTTTTCCTTCCAATCATTTGATAACGGAGAGTCACCGAAGTCAGGGATGATTCTATTTTGCGCAGGACTTGTAACTTTGCTCACAGCATTTACTGGTTTTCTTCCCTCAATCACACTTTGTACAGCATGTACTTCGGCCAATACTGCTTTTGGGGGAATAGTTAAATCAATTTGTGTCTCATTTCTTAGCACTACTGGTATTTGGACATTGCGTTTTGCAGGTAGAGAATGCAAACTGCTTGCCACAAGTAATCCACCAGGCAAAGATGACGATACTGAGGGTTCAATTGTTACACAGGTCTCTGAGAGTGGCCCAATAACTTTGACACATCCATTAAGAACTACAGTGCTTCCAGCTGCTATCACTTCAGGCATGTCTCCTTTTATTTTCACTTGGCCCAGGACATTCACACTAGCCTGCTGCATTCTTGCTTCTAGAACTTTTATCACAGCTTGATACCCTTGATAATGTGACATAACTCTGGGCTTGACTGTTTGAGCATGACCAGCATATAAGACATCTAGGGTGTTAGTGCCAATAAGGATTTGGGGTGTTTGTGTCAGGTCTGGGACAACTAGGGCCAATGTTGGAACTTCGGCCTCAGATCCTAAAAACTCTTGTGGAAACTTTAGAGTCAGTTCAACATATCCAAGGTAAGGAACAGCTTGGCCGTTTGCCCCTTCAACCTCTAACAGATGATTCAACGGCTGCATAGGATGCCGTGACAGGTAGCGGTTGTAGAAAGACATGGGGACTGTTGTGACTTGAGACCCTGTGTCTAGCAAGCAATTCACTTCCTTTTCTTCAATTTTGACTCTAGCAGTGCACTTCATTCCCACTAGTCCGGCTGGTAACTTTAAGGAGTTCCTGGTATCTGTATGCTTATTAAGTGCTTGTTGATTATTTGGGCTTTGTTTTCTCTTAGTCCCCATCCGCCCTGCGATAGAGACTGATTTTAGTTTAAAGGCACTGTGGCTCCTCCATTTCTAAGATCCCACTCAGCTTGTTTCTCTCTTAAATTTTGTCTCTTTTCTTCAACTCTAAATCGGTTTGGTGCATTTTCACAGTAAATGGCAAGATGACCATCATCTCCACAGCGAAAGCAATACCATGGTCTGGGTCGATTGGTTCTTAATTCAGTGGTTTTTTGCCTTCCATTTCTCTCTCGACTGACACCAAAATCACTAGGATTATTACTCTGTTGAGGGGATTTCTGAAACTGCTTTTTCTGTGCTCCAGAAGTGGCAAGTTGGACTTTAAGCTCTGCTATCTGTCCTTTTAGTTGCTGAAGCTCACTTGCCTCAGTTCTCTCCCTTACTTCCTGGTCAGCTGCTGTTTTAATGGCAGTGATTTGGTTTTGGAGAGCCATAATCTCTTTTTTCAAAGCATCAGCTTCAGATGTTTCAGGATACTGGGTTTTACTTTTCTGTTTAGAAACTTTCTGTTTTGGATTTTCGAATGCTGGAATATTAGTAGCATCCACTTCAAGTGAGTTATCAAAATGAGCAGACTGTTGGTGAGTTATTGTTCTTAATTTGAGTGGGGTTGGTGAGGGTCTGCCCAAACCAAGATGCTTTCTCATTCTCTCTTCTTTTGAAGTTTTCTTCTCCTCAGCTGTTCTTAAGAGTACTGCTAACTCAGCAAACGAGAGTGGATCAGCTTTTATTCTCTCTAGCTGCAATTCAACTATCAAGGCATTGTCCCAACAGCCACGGCAGAACTGTTTCAGGAGATAACGGTCTCGTTCACTCTCCGCAATCCCTCCACGCCTAATGGTAGTGCACAAGAGCACATACAATCTATGAAGATAGGCAGATGATTTTTCACCAGGATCCTGCAGAGTGTTTATGAACTTTGCTAATAATTCATCTCCATCTTCCACTGAACCGTAAACAGACTCTAGTAACCTCAGACACTCTGATGCTGGAGCATTGGGGCTCACATGCTTAATGACATCTGAAGCAGGCGGTAACAGGCTGTCTAGAATTTTTTGCATTTTATGTGACTCAGAAAGGGATAACTCATTCAACAAATAGTCAACGCTTGTCCGCCATGTGTCGAAGTCAGGCTCATTACCTGGACGAGGCATCCGTCCAGAAAAGGCTTTTAAGCGGAAAGAAGCACTGTGTTGGGGCACTGTTTCACTCATCTTCACAACATGTTCCATAATTACTCTCTGAATGTCAGGGGGGTGCATAGAGGATATAGGAATTCTCACAGATACAGAATTGGCTTCTGTTAAACTATGGGGCGATGTAGTACTCATGTTCACCTTGGCTGGGTTGTTATTATCAATTTTTAGAGCAGATGGCTTGAAACTTCCAGTTCGCTGAGGGGTGTTAGTTACACTTGTCAAGACTTTTGTGCTGGATTTTAAATTTTCAAGTCCACAATCTTCTCTGTGTGATGCATCATCCAAATGTGTCACTCCATTCATTTTCATTGAATTTTGCTTAATGATATCTTGTTGGGATTCTACATTTTTATCCTCTAGTGACTTCAGTTGTTTTGCTGTGTCGCTAGATGTGGCGGTGCTGTAAGCAGTACTCAATTTGTGTATGCGGAATATAACGCTCATATCAGTAGGGCTTACGATAGTCAAAGGCAATTGAGGCTCAATGTTGCAAATGGCGGAGTTGTGTGAAAACTCAACAACTGCATTATGATGAAATACAGACTGCGGATCATCAATCAGAAAGTTTTGCCGTATAGAACCAAATCTCAAAAGGTAGGATTCTACGACTTCATCTGTTTCAGTTAGGGTTAAACCACTAATAATCACTGCATTTTCTATTTTAACGTCTTCTCGTTCTATGACATCCATTGTAATGTTATATTTTCACTATATATGCGTATTTCAATAATTATTCACCTCAAAAGCTGCTGCTTTCTCGCTCCTGGCTGGCTCGCCAAGATTGTAGCAAGTACGATTGATTTGTCGCGATTGCGTATTTTTCAATGTGGGCCAATTGGTCAGAAGAGAAAGAACGGCTACTGGAGAGAGGAAAGCAGCACAGCAGGTGAGTGAATAATCAGACACAGTCAGTTTTTTCTTCAATATAGTTTATATAATTAGAAATATGTTATGAGTTTGTGAATTTCTGTCCAATAAGCATAAGTATTTATGTATATATATAGGTTCGATTATAAATTATAATAATGAAAAGTAAATAATTTTCTATTTTTTTTCTTTACACAGATGAACGTGAAGTCAATATACAGTTAAAACAAAGTTGTGATCAAGACAGTTGAGAAATTTCAAACACTTGTACAAAATGAAAATAAAAATCCTAGAAAGCTACAACACTGTGCTACCCTTTGTATAAAACAAAGTAAAGAAGGCAATAAATTGTGATAAAAAATACTGTGTTCTCAAATGTAATAAATAAAAGAAAATAAAGAAATAAATCAATAATAAATATACCAACTCTACTCAAATGCAGGCTATAATTCAATATTCACACTTTTAACTCAATAAATCATTAATGTGCTCAAATAAATCACCTCTCTGTTTAAAGAATCAATACACGGTTCAAATGAATCACCTCCCTGTTCAAAAGATCGCTACTCTGTTAAAATGAATCACCTCACTGTTCAAAGAATCAAAACTCTGTTCAAATGAATCGTTCGCTACTCAAAAGATTCGTTTTGCTGTCCAAAGGATTTGTTTCGCTTTCAGATGATTCGTTCCACCGGTTGCCGTTCACAGTTCAATACCAAGGATTTCGTGAAAGAGAACTGTTGATTCTCTTAGCTCAGTTCCAGTAAAGGTTTTCCGTTGAGGATTTTAGGAAAAGTAAGAAGGAAAAGCGGAAGGTCGCGATGAGTCCGAGTCTCGTTTCTCCAAACAATCAAAAGAACTCTCCTACCAGTCCGGTGGCACAAACACACAGTCTAACAGGAGAGTCGGTTCCGTGGGTGGCTCGCCGTAAGTTTCTCCTCGAGTCCAACGTGAATTAGGGACTCATCACAGATGCTTCGACACACACAAAAAACCCAGCCTTGCAAAACACAAGGCAAATATCAATTAATAGAATGTCTTTAACAATAAATCTCATATGTACACTCTTCATATGCACATTTACTCAACATATATACACACATTGATCATAACATTCCTCAAATACCATATTTTTGACACTACTTGAAATCATGTTAAAATGAAAACAAAAATAAACACAAACTCACCAAGGAAATCACTCAAAATCAAAGCGAAAACCCAGGAAAACTCCAGGTGGCACTCGTGTGCAGATTTCACTCTCATATACAAATGACGCTTTTTCTCTCAATCCTTCATCAAAAATATATTATATAAATCATTGCAGCATCTTATTAACGGTAAAATTGCACAGTTAATACGAATTTAGAACATTAAAAGATATAAATCTAATAATTTTCTACTGATAATACAATAACAACTTACTTCTCTCACTCCCTTGCAAACACTGAATCACCATAGCAACAGTAAACACAAACTAACAGACAAGCGAGATTTGTTATTGTTTGGAAAGCTGATCTGCTGCTAAAGTGTAAGGCACGATGATGTCATTCTAAAGCACTACTCCCTTGAATGCTGTATAATACTCTTTTATAAATTATTTATATAAATAAATAATTTTAATGTATATTATTTAATCGAGTATTCTGCCAGTGTTTTTTCTCATATTTATAAGGGTATTTCTATTTTTTCTATTGCTGTGTACTAACAACTAGTAACCTGGGTTATCCGGGTTACAGCTCTCTCCCAGGACAGCATGCCAAACAAGCTTTATAATCAATCATCACCTAAGTGTGGATTCTTGAAAATCACTTAGCCAAAGTCTGTCATCAAAGGGGTTTAGTATTATTACCTTCAGAACAGAACTGTGCTCCAAAAGAGTGATCTTGCACCTCCAAAAACACTGCATGTTCATTGCGTTTTGGTTTTATCTGCATTTATTCTATAAGAAAAAATGCACACAGTGGCTTCTACCGCAAAAAATTACATTTTCCTTTATATTTGGTTCAAGTTTATCAGGAAGTGACAATTGTATTCTTTTTGACTCATTGGATGGAAACGGTGCTTTGTTTGCAAATGTTTTATGTCATATTACAGTTTTGCACACATTCACATATTTGGATGGAAATATAGCTACTGTTCCTACCTATTATGCGTTTAGACGCAGCTGTTTAGACCAAGATTTGTTGATGCAAGTTTCATTACTTTGATCCACAGCCTAAAAGACAAACTTCATTTTGTTTTAAAATCTATGCTTTAACATATTTCATTTTTTTATTCTCCATCTGCCCAGGTTTTCCTCTGAATGTGCTTTGTCTGCTGCCTCACTTGGTGCAACACTTTGGTAGTCCAACACAGTTCTGTAAAGAAAGTGCTGAGCGGATTGCACAGGTCTGCACATTTCTATTATAAAACACACCCTGCACTTTACTGATATTTACACCTGAATTAGAAGAGAAACCTGACTCATTTTCAACACCTAACACTGAATTGTGACAGTGGTAGCATCTATGCATGTGTAATAAACAGTTGGTCACATTACGTAAACTAGTAATCACTTAATGTATGAAAATAAAAGATAATTTAAAAAAAGTATGAGATAAAGTCAGTAAAAGATAGTATAAGGCCATTAATCTTCAGTAAATTTATTCTATAAGACTTCAACAATTACATTTCACTATTGTTTGTGTGTTTTCTAGGTGTGTCTTGAGGAGAAAGACAAGAACGCTAAGCTGTCTAACCTGGCGCATGTGATGACCCTTTATAAGACTCGTTCCTACACCAGAGACCCCTTCTCGTGGGTTAATGTGGTCTGTCGCTACCTGCATGAGGCTTTCTCAGACATTACACTCAGTCTGGTGACGTATATGGCTGAGGTGAGCTAACTTGATGAGCACGAAAGTCCTCAAGTATAACTTACAAAATGGTATGTAAAATTGCATGCAAAGAACAGTGTTGTAATGCTAGCTGATCTTTCTTCACAGTTGCTAGATAAAGGATTACCCAGCATGCAACAGCCCCTGCTGCAGATCATCTATAGTCTGCTAAGCCACATGGATTTGGCAGGAATTCAGGTCAAACCTTTCAATGTTGAGGTGCTAAAGACCATTGAGAAATTTGTACAGGTGAGATTCTTACTGAATGAGGATTCATTTGGTCATTTTTAAGCATCTCGATCTGATTTGATAAACCAATATGTGTGTGTGTTTGTGTGTGTGTGTGTCCTAGACGGTCCACTGGAAAGAAGCTCTGAACATTTTGAAGCTCGTCGTTTCCCGTTCAGCTAGTTTATCACTGCCATCTTACACCCATGGTGATCTAGCCCACCTGGAGGTTAGCCGTATGATGTGGGATGGCTCATCTAAAGCCCTGCCAGGAAAGACGATGGAATTCCATTTCGATATATCTGAGGTATATTGTTGCTCAATTGTTCACATTCATGTGTGACACTGTATTTTTGCTCTTGAAAATGTCAGTTTTCAGTGAGATCACACACCTTTTCTGACTCATTCAACTCTTGAGGTGTGGCCCTGTTGTTGTTTTGACTATGCATTTGTTATCAGATCCCATGAAGGGTGCAGCCACTTTTCCTTTGTTTTTAGTGCATAATAGGCCAAAGGAGAGTCACTCAAGTTTTCAGTTCACTTTCAGCTGGAGAAATGGGGGTGATAGTCAACAGAAGTTTAGAGAGAAGTTTTAACTGCATTTAGAATTATAACCTCTCATCATACAGTATTATATAATCCAGAATGATCGCATGCTTTTGTACGTTATGTTTGACATTTAAATAAGTAAAAAAAATCATAAATTATTAACTAAATCATAACTCTCTGTTATGTTATATGAAAGTTTCCTAAATCATCTATCCAATCAATCTATCCAAGGTCCTGTTTACATGCACCAATTTTCGTCAAACTGAATGATTTAAATCGCATTCCCAGAGACGCCGCTGGGGGGGAGGATGCACTGTGGGGGGTGGGGGGGGGGGGGGGATTTTAGGACGATTCTAAGGGCCCACGCATTTAGGTGACCCCCAGAGATATTATTAGGGGCCCATGACACCTCTTCACTTTTGTCTGTGACAGCCAACCTCCACCCCCCTCCACCCTATCTTCACTTTCATCTGTAAAAGGTTGTCAGAGGACCCGTGGTGGCCAGCGACACCCCTGCTGATTGTAAATCTGTTTACATGTATTCTAAACATCATCTAATTCAAGGATCCATTGATATGTTTCTTAAACTGTATGTTCTGATTAAAACAAATGCGCATGTGCTTTGTGTGGATATGACACCAACAGAGGTCATTATATAGTAGTCAGATTCAGGTGTTTACATGGTCTTTTGGTTTGCTATTGGATCTCATTGATTTCAGGCTGGCTTTTATGCTGGGTTCACATTAAATGTGGAATTAAGTATTTGCATGCATTAGATACACATCAGTGTAAATGTTAGAACAAAGGCGGATTACCGTCTTGCAGTGTAAATGATGTGGAATAAGCAATGCGTTCGTTGCAAACAATAGGAATTTGCTTAATCACATCTTCCACTTTGATGTGAACCAAGCCATGTTGGCCAATCAGACAGGAGAAAATAGCAGGCACTCCCAAAGCAAAATCTCTGATTGTAGTTCCACATGATCACACTGTACCTGGAATTTTTGAAAATCTTCACTCTAGACCAGTGATTCCCAACCCTGTTCCTGAAGGCACACCAACAGTATACATTTTTAACCTCTCCCTAATCGAACACAACTGAATCAACTCAGAACATGAGACTCCAAAACATGAAGTTAATGGGTCAGATAAGGGAGACATCCAAAATAATCAATTCAGTTCAATTCATCTTTATTTTTATTGCGGCTTTACAGACTGGACATTTTTTAATCCAGTTTAAACATCAACCTGATTACAAACTGATTATTTGGGTTCATGTAAAAGTAGTCAGTATCTGAAAGGTGTTGATCAAAGATCTGGTCTTACCATATTAGTTCAGTGGCCTTTTCAGCACTTGTAAACACAGTGCTGTTAACAGTAATTAGGGTGAGTTTGACATTATGGTTTTGAGTCAGACTCATCTCTCCTACAGCAATATTAGACACTACAAAATGGTTCAAATAGAATAAAAGGGGCACTTTAAACAGCCTTACTTCATTCAATAATAATCTTCATACAATTCTGGTTATATTCTGTGTATTTAACATGACCTTTGTAATTCTGTAACAGGGAAATCTGTAACACATTGAGGCAGCTTTCCTTCTTGAAATCAATTTTGTGTATGATTGCCCTCTTGTGGCTTCAGGTGCAATTACAGGAAATTCTCTCAGTTCCTAGAATTGAGTCCTTTTGCCTTTTGTCTGGCCCTGATGAAAGCAGTGATATCCTGTCCAGATGGAATAGGCGCACACTGATAAGGACTTCAGCAATTAGACTGTTTTTCCATGCTTGCCTGTTTATCTACAGGAAGTCTGTGACTCATGGGGTAGTGTGAGCCTGCGAGTGCTGCTCAGGACCTGTCGCTGTACTCATGTTTGTGTAGGAGGTTATATGACTTATGTCAAAACATGTTTATTTTGATGAGTGGCTTATACTGTGTGCTATTGTGTCCAGACGCCAGTTATTGGCCGCAGATATGACGACTTGCAGGGATCAGGAGGGAGAGATGGGAAAGCCCGTGCAATTGCTGTGACCCGTAGCACGTCCTCCACTTCTTCAGGATCCAACTCTAACACCGTCCTGGTGCCGGTCAGCTGGAAACGACCACAATCCTCTCAGGTGACAAACATTTCATCCTCATGCTCATATTAGATATGGTGTGAGGGATTCTTTTAGGTTGTACTAAACTGTGATGAAAGTCTTAATGACTGAAGATCAATGTATTCTATCAGTGGCTGCTTTTTTCAACCTGTAGTTTCTTTTTCTTTCCCAGAAGCGAACGAGAGAGAAGCTGGTGAATGTTCTGTCACTCTGCGGACAGGAAGTTGGGCTCACCAAAAACCCATCTGTAAGTACTTAATGTGACTGCTGTTCCTAGAAAGACACTCATTTTAGTCAATCATTTATTTACTAAACAGGGCAAATTACAGCTAGACTGCAATGCCGTGAATACAGGGGTTTCTGCAGGTGTTTTCTACTGACAAAGCACAAACACATCCGCTTATTTCTATTAGGATGGAATCATAAATCTACAATGAAATATTGTGCTGCATCTCTGCATTCATTTATTTTCATTTTTTTATTACAAATTTTTCCACTATTGTCTTAAGTAAATCTGAAACGTTTTTGGTCACACTTTACAATGAGTTTTCATTAGTTATTGTATTTACTAACTCATGAACATGATCATGTAATCATAAAATGATTAAAAAAATCTCTTGCAATCTGATCGAAATTTCATTCGGTTCAACCACAAACTGATCAAGGTGTTTATATGAAGTGAAGTTTATTTATAAACTAATTCTGAGAGGATCACATGCTTATGATTGCTTGCAGCTGGTCCCACATTATTCAATTTATGATTCACCAATCAGACGATTCCTACGACAGCCATCCAAATGACAGC